GAATATGTTATAAAGCGTGCCAAGAGAAAAGGGGACAAAAACAGTAGTGGGAACACCAACAAAATCATATGAAGTGAAAAAGGAATGATTTGCTGAAAATATTCTCAAAAAATCATGTGAAAATTAGGGATGGCAACGAGCGTACCTGTACCCACACTATTTACGGGTACCCGTGCGTACCCAACGGGTTTCTCATTCTAATTATATTTTTATATATTTTATAATAATCGATCTATAAAAATAATTTTTACTTAAATAATATGACATGTATATGATAATTTTATGATTATAGACTCATTACTAAATTTTATTATGAAGTAATAATAAAATAAACAAAAATTAATAATAACTAAATATAAAATATTTAATTAAAATATATACGCGGGTACCCGCGGGGCGGGTATCATAATACCCGTTCCCACCCATGAGCTATTTTTGCGGGTACCCATTGCGGGTATTTTGACGGGTACCAACGGGTCCGGGTATTTTTGCCATCCCTAGTGAAAATAAAGCTTTATGGTGCAAGGTCTCAGTGAAGATTCAAGGTGGAACTTTCATTTAGTGTAAGTGAGCTTATGTGGGAAACATAACAACACCAATATCAAAGTCTTTATTCCATCAAGTGGGATTAACTGCATAGATCGAACTTCTAACACAATGTTTATTGACAAAGCATTGAGCTCTAAGTATTTCTTAGATATCTAAGTATTTCTTTGAGCTTATGTGTAAAATAAGTGAACAAAAGTATACCCATCCTTAAGGAATGTATCAGAATCTTGACTAATTAAATAATCAAAGGAAAACTACACAAATAATCATAAAACAAAAGGGTGGAGTACATCTTTACTTGTTCACTTTACAAGTTAGCACACTTCAAGGGAAACAAAGTTAGATATTCCTGGCATATGTTCTCTGCCCCACTTTTACTTCCATTATTAGTCCTATAAGGTGGATAGGGATCTTAAGCTGTTCCAAAATAAATAAATCAGCTTCAAAACTGATTATTTGGAGATATGCTACTTTTTTTAGCCATCTCAATGCTGCAATCTACTTTCATGGGCAAACAACACCCCTTTATAGAGAGCAAAAATTGAATAACCATACTAATCTAATCAATTTCAGAAGATTCAAAAAAATCTAAGCAGTAACATTTGCCAAATGAGATTGTAATTACTCCTACTTTCATCTGCTCAAAAATCAAGAAATAGATCTCTGCAAAATCATTAAATTGGGAATAAGCTGGTCTTCTTTTACTCTCAAGTTTAAACTCTACCATCATTGAATGCTACTTATAGTTAATAAAAAAAGCTAGTCCAAATCTATATGCAAATCCAAAATTGCCATGAACTCACCCAAACACAAAAGAATCTAAATATACAAATATATTCAGTTTAATAAATGATTATTCATATTCATATGATTCTACTAATTTATATATCTATCTTTAACATCGCTACTACAAGATTAAAGACCCAATGAGAAAACAAAGACACTATTAATCATATACACCCACTTTGATTCCACGCAACTCTAAATTAAACTAAAATTCAGCTAAATAATTAAAAATTCATAAAGATTAAAAAAAAAAAAGCCTAACTATAAACATACATAAACCTCGAAGCCAGTATCATTGTTCACTGAGACTCTCTTCTTGCTGAGCATCCTCAGCCCGCGCCGGCTGCAACAACAGTGCCGTGAACGGCATGTGCCGGTACCCATTTGCAGCCACGGCATACTCTATCCCCATCGCAGGCTGGCAAAGGTCAAGACGACACGTCGGCTGCGACGGTTGAAGCGCCAGTGCGGCGAACATCCCGTGGCTGCCGGGAACCGAGGACATCGGCTGGACATGGCAGGGAACTGACGGCACTGAAGAAGCGGAGGCGGAGGCAGTGGTCACCGACTCAGCGGGGACGGTTCCAGTTCCGGTGGCGGCGATGATAGAAGGCTCGGCATGGCGAAGGAGCCACTCGATAGTCTCGCCGTCGGAGCGGTGGCCGAGTTCACGGGTGAGTTGGAAAATCCGAGCGGCGCAGAGGGGCGGCATTCGGACGCGGCGGCCGCGACCGTTCACCTTGGTGTGGCGGTCCTTGGTGGAACGGGAGGAGGTGGCGGAAGGTCTTCTAGCAACGTCGGAGATAGTGGTGGTAGTGGTGGTGGCACTGGTTGATACTTTGGTGTTTGATTGGGAGAGTGTGCGGTGGAGAACTACTTCTGAAGAAGCCATGTTTGGTTCTGAAATTGAGATTTCTAGGGTTTGCAGAAGAAAGGATAATTTGAATGGTGTGTGAGAGAAATGATTATGTTATGAGAAAATTATACTGAAATGGTTAAAGGTATTATATATAGTAATGTGGACCCTCAGTTATTGGGTCCAGTGGGCCTCCCTCTTGCTTCAAAAATGTAAAATTATAAATGTGTACATTATTTATGTTTTGAAAGGAAGTGCATAGTTGTGATAGTAATATAGGTGATTTATTAGATGAAGATATATAGATTTTTTTGTTTAATTTCAAGGTCAAAAAATATTTCATTTCTCAATACATAAAGGAAGAACATTTATTAAATTTATAATAAAATATTTTTTAACCTTGAAAGTAAAAAAAAAATCAATATATCATCCTCTAATAGTAGGTCATTTGTATCATTCACACGATACTTCCACCAAAGTTTTGTCTTGATGTTGAGGGGAAGAAATAAAACAGACGGTTTAATTTATGGGTTGTGTCAACCATTATTTTATTTTTAAAATTTTAATTAAAATGGGCATGTCAATATTGAAAATCCAAGTTTAATAAATCTCAATATTTTAAACATATTTTTTTTAATAAAACAATATTTTTTATTTTCCACTCTCCTTAATTTATTAAAATGTTATTATTTAACTTATTGTCTCATATAAGTATAAATAATTATCATGTTCCTCTTCTCTTCATTAAGCTCACTAATAATCATTTACACGATATGTTAAGTGTTATGTTAGATGTTGACAATATATTGGTGTATTGACCCAATAAAATGGAGGAATATATTTAGAATATGTGTAATTTTTAAATTGTTTTAAGAACAGAAAATGATTGGTTGGTTTTCAAAATTTAAAAGTTTACAATTTCAGTAATTTTTAAAAGTTTATGAAGGATGGCAAAAATACCCAAACCCGTGGGTACCCGTCAAAATACCTAGAATTGGTACCCGCAAAAATAGCTCATGAGTGGGAACGGGTATCATGATACCCGCCCCGCGGGTTCCCGAGTATATATTTTAATTAAATATTTTATCTTATATATTATTAATTTAACATTATATTTGTTTATTTTATTATTACTTCATAATAAAATTTTAGTAATGTGACTATAATCATAAAATTATCATATACATATCATATTATTTAAGTTACAATTATTTTTATAGATTAATTAATGTAAACTATATAAAAATATAATTAAAATTGAAAACTCGTTGGGTACCCGCTACCCATACAGATATCCATAAATAATGCGAATATGAGCACGGTTATGCACTACCCGTGCCCGCCAGTACTGGTTGCCATCCCTAAGTTTAGTAAAGGAAAAAGGAGACACCGACAATTGCACTAAAACACGTTATTTATTGTCTTATTTATGACAAAATAAGACTATATGACACATTTAATGTCTATTAAAGATAATTAAATTAAGAATACCTTTGGTCACTCTATCATACACATATGAAAATAATAAAATACGTTCAATAAACATTTATATTTATAGGGTGATGCCTTTGGGCGGTTCTGGAATTAAAGGGCTATAGGGTGATTTCCCCCTTGTACCTTGAATAAGGTGATTTTGTTCTCTTTATATTTATAACATTTATTATCCACTTAAAAATCAATAGAGTTAATTACACTCATACTCATGAATTTTAGTAAAATTATATAAATTAGCTCTTATTTTTTGTTTTTACACGAATCACTCATTCCTCTTACACAAAACACCCATAATTTTATATATATGTTACACTGACCACTCCTGATGAGATATAAGTGTAATATTTTAAACAAAAAAACGTACGGTAAGTGTAATTAAGTTAAACAAAATATTATATATTGTGTAGACAATTTCAAATTTCTCTTACACAAAACACCCATAATTTTATATATATGTTACACTGACCACATCTGATGAGATATAAGTGTAATATTTTAAACAAAAAATGTGCGGTGAGTGTAATTAAGTTAAACAAAATATTATATATTGTATAGACAATTTCAAATAATACAAAACTCAAAGTCTTTTTTTTTCATTACACAATATATTAACAATTCTAATAAGATGTTTATATAACCCTTATATTATTTTGTAATGAACTAAATAATGAAGATCCATTGACTCTTATATTATTTGAATTTGTCTACACAATATACAATATTTTGTTTAAACTTAATTACACACTTCACATGTTTTTAGTTTAAAATATTACACTTACATTTCATTAGGGATGGTCAGTGTACAAAATTAGGGGTGATTCAGGTAAGAGGGAGATCTGATTCGTGTAAGGAAAAAAATGGAAGAGTGATTTGTATAATTTTAATAAAATTCAGGGTAAATGCTAATTTAATTTTTGCTTTATCTGCCTAGAAATAATTGTGCTAATGAATATTTAAGACATAACACAGAGTGAATATGTAAGGTTATGTTGTGATTCTTATGGTATTGGACAATGTTATTAAAACTGTATCGGTTATCAAACCGTCAGGATACTGGTATAGTGGTACAGTGATTCAACCAGTGGTACAGTAATTAAATTGCATGCCGATTAAACCGGACATACATGCTTATATTTATATATATGTAAACCTATAACATAAAATTTTCAAATATATAGATATTCAAATTTATAATCCATATTTATTAATCTACTCTAAATTCACAAAAATAAACAACTTTAAGTCCTTAACAAAATCAAAATTTAAAGTTCAAAGCATATATCAATCCAAAAATATCAGTTAACAAACACAGAATATAAATAAATGACAAAGGTTCACAACTTAATTTACAAAATATAAATTTAGATTTCTAACATCTGACACTAAGGAGTTAAGCTTATCTCATATCAATGTTCCTAAACAGTACAATCCTAAAGTTGTAACTTGTCAAATAAAAATTGGTGAAAGTAAAACAATAAGAAAGAATACAATATATAGAAGGGGAGGGATCCACTTACTCCAAGAGTAAGTGAAAAAATACTTACTCCACATCATGACCATTCATTCTTGGGAAATCCAATGGTTTGAATTGGTGAGTACATCTAAGCCATTGAATTTTTCAAGATTGGATGGCTAAGATGAAGAGTAAGTGTTTTTTGGAGTAAGTGGATCCCTCCCCTATATAGAAATACTAAACTTCTTTTATCCAAAATTGGTGAAAGTAAAACAAACAAAAAGTGACAAAAGAATGAAACAAAGCATTACCGTAGATTGGGGTTTATATTGGAGATACACGCAACCTGCAATAAAAGAATGAAACTTTGGGATTTATATTTATTTGGGTAATAGTAAAATGAAGAAGCAAAATTTGGGTGTAATTAGATTGTGACGAATGAAGTGTGGAGGAAATTATTAAAGTGGGGTTGAAGTGTTGAAGCTTGAAGGGCTGTGTAAAAAAGGGTTGAAGAAAACCTAATACCAAAAGAGGGGTTGAAGACTTAAAGCCGTGTAAACTGTAAAGTGTTGAAGCTTTGACTTGTTTTGTGATTATCCAAGCAATGCCTTTATTCTCTCAGAATTCTTTTCATACAGAAATTTAAAAAGAGATGATTCTTTGGTGCTCCACACATTTTAAGAGCATATTATGCTATACAGAGTCCATTGGCTTGTTACGTGGATGTTGCAATTGCTCTCCCGACTAGTTTTTCTGAGGTAAGGACATCTGTCTTCCAACACCAGCGCCGGTTTTCACCGGTTTTGGTCAAAATCGGCCGGTTTTCACCGGTTTTGGTCAAAACCGGCCGGTTTTCACCGGTTTTGTTACTTGACCGATATAACACCTATGCCGTACCAGTTTTGTTACTTGACCGGTATAATACTCATGCCGTACCGGTTAGGGGTCCAGTTCGCCGGTTTTCTGGTCAAAACCGACGAACCGGCCAGTACAGTACGGTTATCTTATCACTGGTATTGGATTGGATTTTAATGTTGCCATTAAGTAATAATTATAAGAGTAATAATGCAGTTATATTGTTAACTACATTTAATTCACTTGTCTATAACAATAATTTTTATTATTTTATCTTCATATATCATAATCTAAGTTTGTATTTATAAGTAACTATAATAAATTAATAAACCTTAATCACGAAATTTAACAACTTTATATTGAAAATATATTTATGAATTTATGAGTTATCTTTGAATGGAAAGCTGCTATAGTAATAATGAAATATTATTCTAATTCATTCATACTATTTATTTTTGTCTAGTTATTAGAGAGTTTATTGAATGTACTAAAAAATGAGTTTATTGGGGAACGTGAAACGGTTGAAACCCATTTTTTGTAGATTAAATTAAACTCAGTAGGTAAACTAAACTACCAACGCTTTATTTGGTTGTCCAAAAAAACAAGAAGAGACAAATAGATGAAAAGAGGAAATAGAAAGAGAAGAAATAAAATAGATTTTTATAACGTTTGATATAAGAGAAAAATAAAAGAAAATGGAGAAAAAACTGAGAAGAGAAAGATAATGTTATACTTCAAATTACAAGAAAAGTGAAGAAAAAATTGTTATTTTATTATCAACTAAAAATAAAAGTTGTCGACAAAAAAACTAAAAATAAAAATTATAATTTTAAATTACAAATTTTATTATAATTTCAATTGATTTTTTAATTCATATTTTATATATCTAAAAGAGCATTATTATATATACATCCAAAAATGTTGTTTTATGTTACTAGTATGAGTGATGATCCACTTACTCCAATAGTAAGTTTTTTAAACTTACTCCAAGAGTAAGTTTTTTAAACTTACTCCAAGAGTAAGTTTTTTAAACTTACTCAAAGAGTAAGTTTTTTAAACTTACTTCACATCTTAGCCATCAATTCTAGTGAACTCCAATTGTTTAGATTTATTCACTAATTCAAACAATTGGATTTCCCTAGAATTGATGGCTAAGATGTGGAGTAAGTTTAAAAAACTTACTCTTGAAGTCAATGAATCCCCTCTACTAGTATTTAAAAACAATAATTAGAGAAAAATAATTGAAGAGTATTTTTTATATGTCAAATCATCACTTACCCTTCACTTTCTCACTAACTTAGAAGAGAAAGAAATTGATGTGAGTCTCATACATTTTTTATTTTCTCTTCTCTTTCTATCTTCACAACCAAAAAAAGGAAAATCTCTTTTTCTCTTCAATCTTTCCTACTATTTCCTCTTCACTCTAATTCTATGCTAACAAATTAAGGCTTAGTGTCTTTATCATATGGGCATTTCCAAGTCATGGGCTTAGATATAGGTAATATTCAGCAACATCAGGTTGTAACTTTTCATGTAGTTTGTACTTTTTCTGATTTAGTTAATAAGTTACTGAAATCACTCATAACTATAACGTATTTTTTTCAAAAAAACCCATAAAAAATGATAGTGGAGATGAATAATTGCATGCTTGTTTGGATTTTGTGTCATTCCAAGAACCACCAACTACCTTTGTAACCATCTTGGTGATAAGTATAAATCACAAGTATAGAATTATGTCACCAAGCAATAAAGGATAGATTCCACAAGGATGGTTAACTTCTTAACTTCTTTGGACTAAAATATGTATTTTTTTACTAAAGATAGTTATGTGTGAAAAGATAATGTAAATTTAAAATTAGATTTAATTGAAAAGGGGAAAGGTTATCGCTTTGACTTTTATGGATCTTATTTTATCGTATTCTTCTACTAAAATTTAAGTTTGAAGGGTGACTTAAATAATAAAAGATAATGTTATCTCTCGAGATATAAAACTCATGTCTGGTTGAAAACAATACCTACTTCTACTGTGTGATTTAATTAAATCATTTATTTTGTCTCTTTTCCAATAGCTCTATGACAATCCAATGTGATCCTCTGAAATTCTAAGATTACACTCATGAATTAAAATTTAAGTTAGGTTGTTATAAGTATAGTATTTAGTTTTTCCTTTTGACATTGCCTTAATATTCAAATATATGACTAGTAAATTCAAACGAATAGATGCATAAACAAGACTATAATGCTCAATATAATGAATGAAATAATAAATTATTCATGGCATTGTCATCATACATGAGATATGAGAGAATATTATATATATTTGTATTGATAAAACATTATCTTATTTATGATTTAGTTGGTTTTATTTATTTGGTTAGTTATTGTTTGTGTCGTTATTATCTTATCATTTTTTATGGATTGTGCATATATAATAAATTACATCCACTAACTCATATTTTAAGTTCGACTAATCTTTATTATCTCAAATTTCTATATGGTATCAGAGCGGTTTCATCCTCCGTGACCTGTTCGGTCACTATTCCATTGTCGAGATGCCGAAAATCGAAACTTTGATTAGTCATCTCCCTTTACTATGTCATCCTTTTGTTAGTATTCAATTATTTTTTCAACCTCATAATTTCATATTACGTGCACAATTCACTTTCTTACTTTATATATATATATATGATAATCTTCACACCGACAATCATTCTGATAATGTTTTTCTCTCATTAACGGATTATGTTAGTAGTGATTTTCCCCGTCAATGATCATTCTGATGGTGAATATATTGTTTTATATCCACTGACGTTCATTTCCATGGTGCATTTTCTCCCATTAAAGTATTATATCAATAATAACTTCTTTCCCAATGAAAATCATTCAAATGATGACTGTATCAATGATTTCTCTTCTCACCGACGACCATTCGAGTGATGCCTTTTTGTCATAACGATGAATTATATTAGTTGTGACTTACTTTTATAATGATAGTCATTCTGAAGTTGATTATATATGCAAATTGTACAATTAACGACACATTTCAAATATTTTTATGGAGCCCATATAATTATTTGATTATTTTTCTTTTGAAATGAGTTATTTATAATAAGCTTAAAGCTTACTAAACTTTAGCTTGAGGGGACGTGTTAGATATATTTGCATTAATAGAACCAATGATATGAGAACCGGACCGGACAGTTCGACCGGTCTGACCGTTGACCAGAGCTCCAAACGGTCTTGGTTTGCATGTTTATCCTATGCTTGGTTGGACCGTTTTAGACCGTCCAAAATCCGGTTCGGCCGAGTGAAACCGGGATAACCTGGAATAACATGGCCACTAAACCAAACGGTTCACAAAGACAGGATGAAAGACGTTTGAGAGGAGAGAGAATAAGAGTTGGAGTAGGTTGAGTGAGAGAAGACAAACTTATATTGGTGATGAATCTTTTCTTGAAGAGATGGGGATTGCAAAAATGCACTATAGATAAATATCTTCATTAGATAATATTATTTCTTGGTGTTGGTTATTGTAGTGAGGTTCTATTCTTTCGGCTACAATTATTGTGGTTTCTCTTGCTATCATTAATGAAGAATTAAAATTAGGGTTATGTAATGTTGGGCTGAATTGCAAGATGTGTAACACCCCAAGTTTCATTTTCCTAAAGTATTGTAAAAGTAAAAAATATGGGGTATACTAAAGGATTCTCGCTTGAGCGAGAGGAGCCTCGCCCAAGCGAGAGTGACAGTGGTTCTCCCAGGATTTTCCCTGGAATTCTCGCCTGAGCGAGAGTTGGCTCGCTTGGGCGAGAAAGACACTCTAGAGGTTGTTGGATACTCGCTTGAGCGAGAACATCAGAGTTTGAAACTTTAAAAGGCGGGGATTTCTCGCTTGGGCGACGTGTTCTCGCTTGGGCGAGAATCTAAAAGTCTGAACCCTAAAATAGAACCCCAAACACGAAAATGGAATATGTTTTTGGGAGAAAATAGAAGAGATAATTTTCTTATTAAGAGCTCGTGTAGAGTCTAAGAGAAGCTAGAGAATAGATAAACCTCTTGATTTTAACACTCACTCTCTTTTAGAAACTCATTTTTGGCAATTGGGTCTCTTCTCTTGGTATGGAAAATCATATAACTTTCCCTTTGGAGTTGTAACTTGTTTTTATCTAGCTTTTCCTTTGAAAAACTCGAGGTTTAGAGTTTGTATTCGAAAATGGGGATGATTGGTGGTTGATTCATGAAAACCCCAAAACCAAAAACGAAAATGATGATGAAAGGGGAAATGTTAAGTTAGAAATGTGGTTTATGGTTTCTAATGTTAAATAGAAGTGAATAAGTATATTTTACATGCTTGAAATTCCTAATGGAGATGGTTTTGGAAAACATCGAAATATGAACTATTTTTATGGATAAATATGTGGTATTAAGTTGTTTATGTGATAATATGAGTATGTTATTGATTTTGGTTATTGTGTGTGTGGTGTGAATGAGGAAAGACCCTAAGGTTGGAGGAAGTGGAGGAGAAACTAGCAAGTTGTCCAACACCACCACCAACGCACACCAAGGTAAGGGATAAGCATTGTAAGTATATGAAGCAAATGTATAATGTGGTATTTTCCTGTGGTGGAAACCGACAAATTAATGTATGACTTGCCCTACGTGGTATTGACTTTCATGACAATGTATGACTTGCCCTATGTGGTAATAGCCTTTACGGCAATGTATGACTTGCCCTATGTGGTAATGGCCTTTATGACAATCTATGACTTGCCCTACATGATATTGGCCTTCATGACAATGTATGACTTGCCCTATGTGGTAATGGCCTTTACGGTAATGTATGACTTACCCTACGTGGTATTGGCCTTCGTGACAATGTATGACTTGCTTTATGTGGTATTGGCCTTATGGCGATGTATGACTTGCCGGATGCGGTATTGAAATAATTGACATATAAGGTGGTTAAGAAATTGTAGGATGACGTTCCATTTGGTTTGATTGTTGTTTTATGTTAAACTTAGATTTATATATTTATGTTTGAAATATTATTCTATACTGATTTTATAAACACTGAGTATCATGAATTTTATGTCTTACTCCATTGTATTTCTTGTTGGTTGTATTTGTGATAATTGGTGTACATGTAGAGCAAATGACTAGTAGATCTAGGCGATGTT